ATATATATATATATATATATATAGAGGTAAGAGTTATATGGAAAATAAATACAAGAAAGATAGTAGAGAGATTTGATTGTATTTTATTAAAACTATATTGTTTTTAATGGATCTATACCTAATATTAGGTACATAACAACTACATATTCCCTAAGCCTTATATATATATATATATATATATATATATATATATATATATATATATATATATATATAAAATTTTAAACTATTAAATACTTATTGTGTCCATTTGATTTTCATCTGCTTCATTTGTGTCCATTAGATGAATATCCGTTTCGAATGGCGATGTGTCGTTGAAACAATAGTTACTTTCATTGAAACAATAGTCATTTAATATAATCTATATTTATAACAAATATCGTATGTTTGCTTTTAACGAAAGTCACTTTCAAAATGACATTGTTAATTGCTTTCAGTCTAACATATAAGAAATATCAATGGTCTATATATTGAAAGAAATTGAAACCAAGTTTTTATTTTTATCCATTCTATTTTTGTTAATGTTTCATATAACTTATAATTTTATATATAAATATAAATGTTTTCTGCTATATATATATATAAGGCTTGACATTTGACGTAAGGATGGTTAAATAGATGTTACTAGAAACAAGTTAAAATTTTTTAAATAAATCGATCGTTAAAATTATAAATTTAAAATGATAAAATATATCGTAGTAAAAAATAAACTTAAAATGGATTTAAATTCCTAATGATAAACGTTAACATTTTAATATATATTATATATATATATATATATATATATATATATATATATATTATATATATATATATATATATATATATATATATATAATAAAAGTAGAAGCCTAATATATAAAACTTTACAAAGCAGAAGGGGAAAATTATAAATTTGATGTATATTAGAGGACCCTAATTGAAAGTTTGACAAAAAGAATTAAAAACACTGATTAATTTACATAGACACGGAATTCAATGCCAATACACCAATAATTCGTGTATATAATTCGTGTATATAGGAGGACCCTATTAGAATGGACAACAATCAAACTTTGAATCGAACAAATCACAGCTTTAGAGAAATACGGCATCGATTTTACAAGAATATACGAAAAGTTAAAAGCTATAAAGATCACACTAGTGAAACTGAAAACCGATTAAAACTCATGTCACAAAAAGGATTCAGACATGAGGCTCACATGTAAGAGAGTGATACCTCATGTTGAAATACTGCTATAGCAACCCTTGGGGGTTCTTGCTTATAAATCATATTTTTGGGTAAATTACACGATTCGTCCCTACCGTAAGTGTCAAATTGCACATTGAGTCCCTATTTTCAAAAATTAACTCGGAAAGTCCCTCATTTGTTTAAAATTTTCACGTTTCATCCCTAATTTCGTTAGCTAGACATAAAAAGACGATTTTGCCCTTATCTTTATCTTTTTGATTTATTTTTATTTGTTAGTTATATTTAATTAATTAAATATTTATTTGTTTATTTAAAGTAATGGACCCCACCACGTATACCCTCTTTATCTCTTTATCTCTTCATTAGAGCACAAATCAATTAGAAGTCTGTGTTCTCTTTGTCGCCGGTGACTGTGAATCTCATTTTTCCGACTTAATGAGAAAAAGGAGATTGATGAGAATGAGGAAGGAGCACCATGAATCTCATTTTTCTTGCTTAGGTGTTGCAATACATACAGTGGAGGAGGATATGCATCTAGTGACCTCCACTCTCCAGCCAGCCATTGACCTTCATCTCCGACTACCTACCATCACCTCCAAGCACCTACCAGTGCTCACATCTACTAAACATCAAAGAAGATGAAGGTTTCCGACCAGTTTTAGCTTCCACAACCCTTTGCCTCTAGCAACCACCACCATTTGCCTCCAACACCCACCTGTAAAGAGCCCCAAACCAAACCAAAATAAAAAAAGAAACTTGAAATTGGTTCCAGAAAATAAAATCGAAACTGGTTCCAGAAACTAAAATCAAAATCAAAATCCTACGTATGGTGGTTGTCTTCTTCTCCGGAAATCACTTCCATAAAAAACAAAGGAGCTTTCAAAGAAATCAGCGAGAACAGGAGACTCAATGCAAAAAAAAGCTCCACCCGAACCCATCTTGTTCCACTCTTCCTTCGTCTTCTTCGACCACTCTACGAGTTGCAGGTATGGTGGTGGCATCGTTTTAGCGACGTTGTTGGAGGCGTTCAGATCTGATACATGGAGGTGAAGATTTGAAGAGATGATGAAGACCTCAGATCTGATACAGGGTTGTGGATGCAAGTGATAAAAGAAAGGGGGAGGAGAAAGATAAAGGGAAAGGGAATAATATCAGTTTCGTGATGGTTGTTTCCGGCAGGAGAAGCGATGTGCAGGTGGAGTGAACCGATGGCGGTGGTGGCTCCAACAACCCATTTCTCTCTAGCTTCGGGGACCCATGTGAAGGAGATGAACCAACTGGGATTGAATGGTGTGGGTAGGATTAGGGTAGATGGTAAGTGTTTGGGGGTGGTGGGCCCATTTTTTGTTTTCTAGATTTTTTATTTTTCTTTTAAATAGTTAATAACAAACAAGTCATAAAATATATCAAAAAAGAAATAAAAAGGGTAAAATAGACATTTTATGTCCATCAGGGATGATCCGAGTTAAAAAAATACATTACAGGGACGATCCGAGTTAATTTTTGAAAATAGGGACTAAACACGCTTTTCGGCACCTGCACGAGGGACGATTGGTGTAATTTACCCCATATTTTTTTAAAGCAAAATTGTATTATAAACAGAAAATAATAATATCTTGGTTGTAAACCAACCAATATATTTTACCTTTCAACTATCGGTTCCATTAAAAAAAATCAAAGAAGTTTGAAAAATAATCTCACTGGAAATATTAGGGTGCGTTTGGTTGTGAAATTTTTTTCAGTTTTCTAGGAAAATTTTCCAAGAAAAACGGAAATTTTGAAAACGCGTTTGGTTCATTCAGTTTTCGAAAATTTTCCAAGAAAATGAAAATTTTTAGTTTTCCAAATTGTATGTAAATTTGAAAAGTAATTTTTACAGTTTTCCAAAGTTTTCCAAATTTTTAAAATGGAAAATGAAAACTCCCCTGGTTTCAACCAAACGCGTTTTCTAAAATTTTCATTGAAAATTGAAAACGAAAACTCAACTCTATTTTCTGAAAACATTTTCTTAGAAAATGAAAACAGTTTTCCACAAAGGGTGCGTTTCGTTGTGGAAAATTTTCGAGTTTTCTAGAAAAATTTTCCAAGAAAAACGGAAATTTTGAAAACGCGTTTGGTTCATTCAGTTTTCCAAAGTTTTTTAACAAAATGAAAATTTTTAGTTTTCCAAATTGTATGTAAATTAGAAAAATGATTTTTACAGTTTTTCAAAGTTTTCCAAATTTCTAAGATGGAAAATGAAAACTCCACCCGTTCCAACCAAACGCGTTTTCATTGAAAATTGAAAATGAAAACTCAACCTTATTTTCTGAAAACATTTTCATAAATAGTTTTCCACAACCAAACACACCAAATTTCTAAGATGGAAAATGAAAACTCCACCCGTTCCAACCAAACGCGTTTTCATTGAAAATTGAAAATGAAAACTCAACCCTATTTTCTGAAAACATTTTCATAGAAAATGAAAACAGTTTTCCACAACCAAACGCACCATAATTTGACAGCTCCAAACACCGTTTTGTTCCGAAAGTTTCGTATAGCTTTAAAAAATTTGGAAAAATTACTAATTTGATATTACTACTTTTAGAGATATTTTAATTAGAATTAAGATCCATAAGAATTACTAATTTGATGTTAGGGATTCTTTAATAGTTGCTCTTTACACTACTAGAAACTTGAGTTTCAGCTATGGATTTTGCTACGGATTTATTCTCTAGCAAAATTTAGACTTATAGCTAGGGAATTACGACGGATCTACCATGTTTTTGATATGTTTTTGATAGTTATTTTATTTATTTCACATGTGGAATATTAGTGAGGATTTACCGAGGGATCAACTATGGATCTCGCAAGTATTTATCGATGCACCACTATCCCTCGCTAATCAGTCGAAAAATGAAGGGCCTTAGCTAGGGTTCAACGACGGATAAAAAATTGCGCCAGCTGGTACGCGTTTAGCGAGAGAACATCGACGGAAACTATATTGTGGGTACGCGCGTTTTGTTTTTTCTATCGCCAATCTCTACCTGAAATTGGGACAACCCAGTTCCATCTTCATGAAATGCATTGAAATTTCTGGTACGCGTTTCCTTCCCTCTAGCATACTTTGAAGTTCACGAATGCTCTTACTTTGTTAGGTTTTGTTTTTTCTATTACTCTGGACTTTGGACATGAATTTTAAACAGATGATGGCATAGAAGTTCCCTTCAATCTGTTAACCCACTTCCATCTCACAATCTCTGTTTGAACAGATGACGATGACGGCACTACTCACCCGATTCCGGCAACCTCCACATTTTTAAGCTGAAAGTATTCTTCGTTAACTTTCGGATTCAGGTAAATCTCATCCCTATTAGGTTAGTTTTAGTTCAATTGCACAATATACTTTGTTAGGGTTTAATTTCTCATTTTTTCTTTTTCAATCGATGTCCCTCTTATCTCTCAGCATTATATACATGAATAACCCTAAAAGTTAGAATTAGAACTTGATTTAGGGCTTGATTCATCATAGTTTGTCATCCAATTTATGAGAATTTAAGGATTCAGGAACACCAGTAGCCAAAACCTTTAGGTTTTCCCCAATTCTCTTTCATATTAGGAGGTGGTCTCTCTGATAAGTCCTCTTCCCTTTTGAGGTCTTGAAGTTGATGTGGTCTTGAATCATGATGCTGACTTCTACTGCCAGTTGATGGTTCAATTGGAGCTATGTTAAGGCCAGTGGTACTTGTCACAGGAGCAGCAGCAGCATATACAGATTTTGAAGCCAACACTCTCATCTTCATGCATCTATCTCTCATCAAACCATGTTTCATCTTATGCCCTTGCATCCACACATTTTCACAGATCCAATCTCCAATTCAGGACTTCCACCTTCTTTCTGTAAGTAAATTAAAATTTAAAACCACATTATTACATTAAAAAGAAAATAAGTTGATTAAAAAACAAATACAGACCAGAATTCCAGTAAGGGCAGTGACTTTTTGCATAACAGGTGAGAGTTTTTTCAGTTGAAAGTCAAAGTGGATTGTTCTTTGCACTATGCTTGCTTTAATGTCATCGTATATTCTTTCAACCCTGTGGGAGATGAATATGTTAAAAAAATTATAATAATAATAGTGAAATGAGATAATTAACACTGATTAAACACATACCATTCGTTCCCTTCTTTGTCGAAAATTGAAGTCAAAATTAGCTTGATGGTGTAAAAACATTCCTCAACTGCATATTGCATATAATCATCTCTTGAAATTTTATCCCATAGTTCGTCTTGTGTGTCACTCTCTCCAGCTATATCTTTTGCAAGGAATAACTAAACATAAAAAAGAAAAAAAAATAAATAAATATTTATAAAGAAAATGTAAAAATTCAAAATTGAATGATTTTTAGTAACCTTGTTGGCTAGTAGAAAAAAAAGGCTATTGCACCATGGGAACAGTTCCAGTATTTTTAGGCATTTGAAGCAATTCCATTTCCCTGAAAAGAAACGCACGTCAAAAGTCAAAACCTGAGGGAAAAAATGTAATATTTTACCTAAACAAGTCATGTTAATAGAAGCTAAAAACTCACAGATTAGTAATGTAATCTTCTTCTCTTAGATTCTTGACAATCTCATTCCAGAAAGGTGAAAATCTAGCAGCATCAAACTTATATTTTACAAGAATCTGACCAGTTACCTTAAGGGAACTCCTGAAAAATATAATTAAACATTAATATAGGACGGAAAATGGAATTCAACAAATTATGTTACAGAAAGAGATGAAGAACACCTGCTTGAAAGAGGAATGTGAAGATTATCCATGAATTCTGCAGGGAACCTCTCAAAGTTTTTGTGGACAGAACATATCTGCCTTAGCCTAAGGTAACATTACATTCGATGAGAATGAGATTACCAAATACCAAAAGCTTACCCTGGGCTCAAAAGATATAATATATATTTAATCCTAAAGGATTGGCATAAAAGTAATCTTCTTCTTTGGGTTTATTTGAAATAACCAATCTTTTTGTGGGATTTCCCATTCTTTCTTGATAGAGCTTTTTGTTAACAATTCTTTCTTTGTTCATTTCCTTTCCATATAGATTTTGAAAACAAGGTATTGGTTTCATTTATGATAGGAGCACTTAGCTTTATTTGTTGATATGGGCGTGGGGCAGCTGATACACTTATAATCCCTATAACTATCCCATTTTTAGCACGTAAAGGTTTAGTGGAACCGATGATAACAAACCTTTCTCCTCTCTTATTTCTAATAGGAAACTCCCCTATCCAACATTCACCCTTTAACATTTGTTGTAGGATATCATTAGCTATATGGAGATCCTTTGGTTCTACTATAAGATCCAAAAACCTTTTCCACGAATTTCCTCAGCACTACAAGTTTTCCCAAGCTTGGTTCCTGCATAAATCTCAAAAGTCGGAGAGAAATTTAGGTTAATATCATACAACAATCAGCCTCAAATAGTATGAAGGTGTAAACAACTTGCTTGTAGATTATGCAACACTTAAGATTGGTTATATGAATTGGCTGATCGATTGACTTTAGGATATTGAAATAATCAGTTTCTGTTAAGACGAGAGGTGAATGTTGAGTCCATGTCCGTGAAGATATTCCCTTTTACTTGTTTCTGTCCCTCTTCTAGAACTACCATCAGTGCAATCTTTGTAATTGATCCCTACAAACTGCATATTTCAAGAAAGTTGCATATTGACCAAAGAATAAATAACGCTGACCATTATTTTAAGGACACTGACCTTCAACATTTTGAGCTTCGTTTTAGTGATCACCCGATTGTTTATCTTTACTTTTGTGTTTCCATTGCTAGCATTTTCCATGATTGAACCACCAAGTGTCTTGAGGAGTAATTCTTTGAGGACAAGGTTTTGTTGTTTTCATCTTTCTGTTGAATAAAAATAAAATATACCTTTTTTGCCCTTGCTTCAGCCTTCCTTTGTTTTTGCTCAGTTTCTTCTTTTATGAAGCAGACATTTTTGCTAGCTCGTCATTTTCTTCAGTTGATTATTTTTTTTATCAGATGTTATATCGAGTTGGTAGTGACATTGTAACTAAATTCTTTATAATATGAAGTGTGATTTATATTTGTTGAATGAAGTACAAATTGTGTACTTAAGTTAAAACAATCATAATAATGATTATAATAATAATTAATATATTTAAGTCACATGAAATCCAGCAAAAACAACTGGCAAATCGATCATAAATCTGTCACATGCATGAAACCACATCGTTATTTAAGCTTATGTTCCTAATTCTACCTTACTCACTTTCTTTGTTTTTATTTATTAAATCAAGTATCGCTTTTTTGAGTATTAAAATTAACACGAATTTAATAGTATTACCAATAACTAATCTCTTATTATTAATTAAATAAGATCTCATAGAACTAATAATATTATTATACAACTTGATATAACATCTTTATAACAACATTTTAACTAAAAAAAATTAGGTACAAGAAATTAAAATATATGAAAAATTATTTTTTTTGAAAAGATTGTATAGTATTACGTTAGATAACAAAAGATATGCAAACGACACTTTAGATCCCTGTAGTTTTAATATTCCGGAATTATATTTTTAGTCCCTGTAGCTTTAAATTTTAGGAATTACACTTTTGGTCACTATGAAAATGGGAAATAAGCAAAAGACACTTTTGGTTCCTATAGTTTTAGTTTTCCAGAATTATATGCTTGGTCCCTAAAGTTTTTAGTTTGCAGGAATTACATTTCTGGTCCTTGTAGTTTATTTTTACAAAATTACATTTTTAGTCCCTGTAGTTTTTAATTTGCAAAAGTTAAATTTCTGGTCCTTGAAGTTTTAAATTTCTGGAATTACAATTTTGTTCACTATGAAAGAGGGAAATAAGCAAGACACTTTTGGTCCCTATAGTTCTAGTTTTCCAAAATTATCTTTTTGGTCCCTGAAGCTTTTAGTTTGCAGGAATTACAGTTCTTGTCCCTGTAGTTTTAATTTTCCAAAATTACATTTTTAGTCGCTACAGTTTTTGGAATATGATTGAATAGTTATAATAAAAATAAGTATTTCATATTGTATAATTGTAGTTTCCAAGGATGCTTTTAGTAATGTGGATATGATTACATTATCTAATTTCTAAATAGTAGTTATATATTTGGTTGTAGCTAGTCATTATGTCAACACGTAGTGATAGAGACTAGATGTACAAATGGTTAGATCATGGGTATCTTAGCACAACATATCATGCATCCGTCAAAGGATTTCTGAATGTTGCTTTTTCTAATGAAGCAACCGTTGATGGGGATTATATTAGATGTCCTTGTTTTAAATGCAAGAACATGTATTATAAAACAAGAGGTGATCTAGAGCTTCACTTGTTACAAAATGGTTTCACTCCTAATTACACAACTTGGTGGGTACATGGTGAAAGAAATACGATATTTCATCATGAGGAAGAATCTTCTAATCCGATGGAAGATGATGATGATGATGATGATGATGTTAATGGGTGTACACAAATGTTGATGGATGTAATGGAGGAACGCCCGAATCCAACTGCCAAGGGGTTCTATGATATGTTGGAAGACGCTGATGAACCTTTGTGGGATGGATGTGAAAATTATTCAAATTTACAAGCTGCAACAGAGTTGTTGCATTGGAAGTCAGAATACAATATATATGAGGCTGCTTATGATCACATACTTCCTAAAATTAAGCGGATGCTACCCAAAGGTGAGAAGCTAGTTGAGAACTTCTATGAGACGAAGAAGCTTTTAAAAATAGTTAGACTCCCAGAAAAAAGATCCATGCTTGCAAAAACCATTGCATGATATTATATGGGGCAGATTCTGATTTGACTAAGTGTCGAGTGTGTGATCATGATCGGTACAAGAGTGGCAGACTGCCATATCTGGTTATGAGGTACTTGCCGATTGCTCCTAGACTCCAAAGGTTGTATTTGACAAAAAAGACGGCAAAGCAAATGACATGGCACTATGAACATCAAACAGAATCGGGTTTGATGGTCCATCCAAGTGATGGTGAGGCTTGGAAGCATTTCGACTTAATGCATCAAGAATTTTCAAGTGAACCACGTAATGTTCGCCTTGGGCTATGCACCGATGGGTTCAGTCCAAATAACTCAAATACAACCCCGTATTCATGTTGGCATGTTTTCCTTTCAATTTATAACTTGCCTCCTTGGATGTGCTTAAAAGAACCATATGTTCAGTTAAGCATAGTTATTCCTGGAAAAAAGAGCCCATGTCAAAATATAGATGTGTTTCTCAGGCCACTAATTGACGAGTTAAAGATGCTATATACAGACGGTGTTGTCACTTATGATGCTTCGACTAAATGCAATTTCATAATGAAAGCTATACTTCTTTGGACAGTTAGTGACTTTCCGGCTTATGCAATGTTATCGGGATGGAGCACACATGGCAAGTTAGCATGTTCGTATTGTATGGGTGAGTCGGGGTCGTTTCGATTACACCATGGTAGTAAACCATGTTGGTTTGACTGCCTTCGAAAATTTTTACCTGAACAACACACTTATAGGGGTGGAAAAACAGGATTTCTGGCAAATAAGGTTGAGAGATCTAGCCCCCCCACCAATATTAACCGGTGATCAGATTTGGGAGCAAGTACGACACTTTCCAACTGTTTATGAAGGCAAACCTTTTAGAGCGAAGAATGCAAAATTGCCTGGTTTCGGGATTACTCATAATTGGGTTAAGAGGAGCATCTTTTGGGAGCTACCATATTGGCGGAAGTGGTTAATACGACATAACCGTGATCCCATGCACATTGAGACAAATGTGTTTGAAAATCTTTTCAACACCGTGATGGACACTCCGAAAAGCAAAGACAACATGAATGCAAGAAAAGATATAGAAATGTATTGCAATCGAGTGCAATGGCATACATGGAAGAAGGGAAATAAGGATATGAAAAAGAGAGCATCGTTTGCTTTGAGCAAAGAACAAGTAGCTAAAATATACCAATGGTTGATTAAACTTAAATTCCCAGACGGATACGCCTCAAACTTGGGGGGGGGGGGGAGGTGCGTTAATGTAGATGATAATAGCTTTTACAAATTCAAGAGTCACGAGTGCCATGTATTTCTTCAAAGATTGTTGCCTATTTCTCTAAGAGGTATGGTGCCAAATTCAACATGGGATGCAATTACAGAGTTGTGTACATTCTTTCGTGTAATATGTTCAAGGGTGTTACGCGTAGATGACTTACAACGCTTGCAAACTACTATTGTTGAAACCATTTGCAAGTTGGAAAAAATATTTCCACCTGGATTCTTTGATTCAATGGAGCATCTTGTTATCCACTTAGTTTGAGAAGCTATGCTTGGTGGTCCGGTTCAATATAGGTGGATGTATCTTTATGAAAGGTATATTTTTTTACCATACAAAATATTCTACCATAAAACCTATGGAATTTCTAATAAGTCTTTTCCAACATCTTTTTAGGAAGTTGGGATCAATGAAAAGAAAGATAAAAAACCATGCGAAGGTTGAGGGGTCCATTGTTGAGGCTTACATGATTGGAGAAATATCGACTTTTTGCTCACAATACTTTTTGCCTACAATTGAAACCCGGTTGAATCGTGAGTCGTGTAATTTTTCCCCATACATTCCTAGTTATACCATGGTCGACTCTCGATTAAGCATTTTCAAAGTTCCATCTCGAAGATTATTCGAAAAAAGTGGATAACGGAGGCCTTTGACAGATGATGAGATGCGTATTGCTCATAATTACATCTTGATCAATTGTGTTGAGGTTCTACCTTTTTTAAGGTATGTCAAGTTATCTATTTTTCCTTGATATCGTGAATCTCTAAAATTTTTGTTATTTTTTAAGGTTGTTTGAAAATTATGTGATCCAAAGCCAACCTGATATGGATGATGGAGCATTTGAAAGGTTTAGGGATCAACATTTTGCTAAGTGGTTTAAAGATCATGTGAGTATGATACGAGAAAATTTTGTGTTACCAAAGTGTCTTCCCCCGTGAATTAGTTAACAAATGAATTTATCAATGTAGGTTTTTCAACAATCAAATGATATCAGTCAACATCTGAAATGCCTTGCACGAGGACCATTACGACATGTTAGGTCCTATAAAGGATACTTTGTCAATGGTTACAAGTTGCATACTAAAAAATATGGTGATGGATGGGTCACACACAATAGTGGTGTATGTGTAAGAGGGACTTGTTACAATGAGACTGAGTGTGACTATTATGGGTTGTTGGATGAGGTCTTAGAAGTAGAATATCAAGGCATAGGGTGTTGCATCGTAGTATTGTTCAAGTGTATATGGTTTAACCCTACTGAAGGGGTATGTGTGGATCGAAAGCATAATTTGGTTGATATTAAATACAAATCAAGGCTAAGAAATGAAGATTCGTTTATCCTAGCGTCACAAGCAGAACAAGTGTATTGTGCACCATATCCCGCAATGAATGATTTGAAAGATTGGTGGGCTGTCGTCAAGACGAAACCAAGGGGTGTATATGATCTACGACAATGTGTTATTGAAGAAGATGATGATGAGGATGAAGAGGACCAATTCTTTCAAGAAAGTGAAGAAATTTTACCTTCTACAAGTAGTGGTGCAAATGAGGTGGCAGGACCCCTTTCTCATGTAATTGAAGGAGAAATAGAAGAAGTTAATGACAATGACATTGAGAGAGAAGAGGATGAAGAAGTTGATGATAACTTGGATGATTCATCCCAATATGATATTGAAGATGAAGACAACATATGTGATGATAATTCTGATGATGAGTAATTACTAAAAATGTGGAATGAAACAATGTATTTGGAACTATATATTGCCTAATGGACCTTATCAATAACTTTTTAGCTAAAATGATCGTTTTCTTTTTCTATATACATTGCACTTTCATTTATTTGTGTATTATAACATGTTACCATCTCTTACTTCTAAAATTTTCTATTATAATACATACTTGTTCTAACCAATAGTTTATTAATTCTTGATTTTAAGGGTTATTTTTTGACTAATGATGCCACAGGGAGCCCGTGGTGGTGGTCATAGTGGTAGTCACATTGGTGGTCGTGATGCTGGAGATAGAAATGCATCTCAATCACACAATAATGCAGAAAGTCAACCTTCTTCTTCTTCAGTTAGAGGATCAAACATCTTGGAACAAGTTCCAAGTAACCCATCAAAAAGGAAGTTCATTGACATCGATTCTGAAAAGGAGTACTAATGTTAATTTTACAATTGTTTATGAAAATGAATTTACTTGTTAATGATAATACTAATGCTAATTTTTTAATTATTTATTTTTTTGCAAGATTTACGGATCAGATTTCAGCGATCAGAGTCATCGCATGTATACTGAAGACGATGTTTGACGACCCATGGATCTCATGGAAGAAGGTTGACAAAGAACATCGTGATGCAATGTGGGAACACTTCAAGGTTTGTACTTATTATTTTTATGATTTATCAAAGTAAAACTTGGTGTAAAATGGAAAAGATAACTGTATGCGTGATCTACATGTAGGGTTTGTATGTCTGGCCCGAAGCGACTGATGTTCTTGCTCGCAAGGTATGGGAAGACTGTATGAAGAAACGATTTCCTGACATAATGCGAAGAGCACGTGAAGAATCTTTAAAACTTGCCAAAGCTGTAAATGTGAATGCCTCACTAGAAGGTGATTTAAATTTGCTAAAGGACTATCACCCAAATTGGATAAAAAAAAGGAGTATTGGGAAAAAATGATCAATGAAGTGTGGACCACATCCAAATGGAAACGTTTATCACAATCAGGGAAAAATAACATAAATAAATTAGAAGATGGCTCTGTTTCCAAACATACAGGGGGTTCTATATCTATTCATCAACATAAGAAAAGAATGGTAAGATGTTTGCATCTCACCTTAGTTTCCACTTAGACTATTGAGTTTTTGTTTTGTTTTTTAAAGTATTACTAATGGATTTTGTAGCAAGCAACACTTAAACGCCCTCCTACAGGAGTTGAACTTTATGCAAGGTTGCACACTAAACGGTCTACTCAAGAGTACATTAAACCAAAGGCATCTAAAGTTAAGGTATTTTTCAATTCTTTTTTAGGAAACAAAACTTCCTACTACTCGGGTTAATAACTTCATTAAAGCAACAAATTAACAGAAAACAAATCTTTCGTGAGTAGTAATCAACTCACAAAAGAAAAGAAACAAATTATTATCTCTAAATGTTTTATCCTCTGCCTAGTTGTAATTAAGTATTTTGTAAGTAGTAATCAACTTTATAAAAGGTTTGAGTATTAATTAATAGGAGGCTTATGAAGTGGTTCATTCCATTCCTTAATTATGAATTTAATGGAATGGAATGAACCATTCTATTCCTTATTTCATGTTTCTGTTGTTTCATATTTTTTTGCTATAATAGGAGGCTTATGAAAGTGCTATGGTGGCTAAGTTTGGTGATGATACTAGTTGCCACCCCCTCTTGGATAATGAAACATGGTGTGATGTTTCCGGAGGAGTCAAGAAAGGAAGAATATATGGATTCGGATCTGTGTCTGATCCAGTGAGCTTTTTGGAAGGAACATCTAGTACAATAACATCCCAAGAGGTACTTTATAAAAATTTCCTATCATATCATTTTACTTACAAAGTTTCCTATCATGGCATTGTACTTACAAAGTTTCCTATCATGGTATTGTACTTACAAAGTTTCCTATCATGGCATTGTACTTACAAAGTTTCCTATCATGGCATTGTACTTACAAGGTTTCCTATCATGGTATTGTACTTACAAAGTTTCCTATCATGGCATTGTACTTACAAAGTTTCGTATCATGGCATTGTACTTACAAAGTTTCCTATCATGGCATTGCACTTACAAAGTTTGCTATCATGGCATTGTACTTTAGGTTGTCTATGAACGTGTACGAAACGAGATGCGTGGGGAAATGGATGCTAAAGCTGCAGAAATGGAAGCTAAACATCAACAAATGCGTGAGGAAATGGATGCGAAAGCTGCAGCAATAGATGTCAAACAACAACAAATTGATACAAAATATGAAGCAATGGAGAAGATGTATGCAGCCTTGCAAAATATGATGAGAAATTGAAAATTATAGGTAATATGATGTTAACCATTAGTATTTGATGTTTTTGAATGACTTGTTAACCTTTTGTATTTGATACTTTTGATTGTTTTCAAATTATGTTTTATAGGAATGTGAACCGAAGATGATTGGATGGACATGAAATGAAGAGAGCATCTAAAATGTTATTTTGAAATTATGTTTTGTGAAAACTCATTTCCCGATGCATACTTTGGATTTCTTGGTGCTAAAATGTTATTTTGAAGTTAAACCTTTGGGAGTTTGATGTTATATGGATAATTTTTGTTTTGGATGTTTTTTGAATGATACTTTGGTAAACTTTGATAGTTTTGGTATTGTAATGTTTGGTTGCATTGTTATTTGATGTTTTTTAGTATAAAAATTTGATGATTGCAGTATTTTTTTTCTTTTAGAATCATAATAAAAAAAATGATATTACAAGTTCGCATCGGATTGGTGAGAATAAAAAAAGTATTTTAATGCATCAATTTTGCGAGCGATTAGCTACGGAAAAAATATCACGTCTAAAGTTTGCGACGGATCAGCGACGAAACAAAAAAAAAATAATGTGTAAATTTTGCAAGGGATTAGCTATGGAAAAAAAACCATGTCTAAAGTTTGCGACAGATCAGTGACGAGAAAAAAAAAAGAAATCAATATATGAATTTTGCAAGGGATTTGCTACGGAAAAAAAACTGATCACTAAAATTTTGCGACAGAAAAGCGATGGAATGACTTTATCAAATTTTGTCGCTAATGCCCTGGGTAAATGTGTTGAGTGACATTTAGCGACGGATATTCTGTCGCTAAATTTGTCGCAAGGAAAAACCTCTCCGTCGCTAAAACCCTCGCTGAGAAATTAGTCACTTATTAATTACCTATGGAGTGAGTCCGTCGCTGATCCATCGCAAACAACATTTAGCGACGGAATAGCGACGGATACTTCCGTCCCTAAAACCCATGTTTCTAGTAGTGTTAATAGTTGCTGACTGAAACAAGTTTGATGATTGAGTAAGATGCCTAATTGAGTTAGACATTTTGATCGAATCAATCAAGTTGTTTGATTATATCTTTAAATGGTTGTATTAACTTATAAAGATGATAATTTTACCTTTTTATTCTATTTTATGAAGGATAAAATGTATATTTTTTATAAAATATCTGAATTTTTTTTCTAAATAATTATAAAATATACGAAGTGTCATACAAAATAGCAATGAAACTTTACAGGTGATAACAATGCACTACTGGAAATCCACCAGAAAAAACAAACTTCTCATATTCTATAGCATCTCCAAATTGAAGTGAAATTATAAAAGTGAAACTAAAAAAAATTGTTCGCCCATTCACCTGGGCAAAGAGAACGATAGAATCTAGCAAACTTCTCACATTCTCTAGCATCATTACCCTTTGATGCTGCACAATTACACTCAATCATAAAATAGCATTATATAATTAATTATTTAATTTTGAGGTGTAACTAATAGAATTTGTCATATTGACGTGTTCCTTATGTTAACACTCAAATTCAATAAACTAATTCATTGATGGGAAGAAGAGAGGAGTGATGAGAGAATAAAGATGTAGAAGAGGCAAGGGCCAATTTGGCTGGAGGTGTTGCTCAAGAACGGAGAAGATTGACACGATTACCGAAAAAGACATACAAATGAAGTTTTACAATCAACTAAAATTTTGGGATGACTCAGCCATACCTCTCAAGTGTGCAAAACAAACAATTTGATTCGGAGAGTCATATTCTACAAACCTAATACGAGTCATATCAAACAACCCCATAATATGTTTTATCTTAAATATGTAAATCGAATTAATGAACATAACAAGTAATGAGTTCATAACAAAACATATAATGCTTTAGTGTGGATCAAAATAGATTGAGTTAACCCTTAACAATTTTTGTTTTCTTAGATTTTATGATTATGTATCAAATATGATTACAACAATGATATTAGTACATTAAGAAGCTATTCTTTTAGTAACTAAAAACTATGTAAGTATTTGAATACATATTGGGCACCTTAATATTATTTGAACGATTGAAAGTAAAACATAAGTCTGGTCGGTTCATTCGCCTATAATTGGTTTGGTATGCCATATTTAATATGCTAAATATTATATACAAAGATCATGATAAGATAAACAAAAGATTAAAATCAGATTCGTGATGGGAGACCGATGACTGAGCTGCGAAATATTGGGGTTTAGGATTAGGGTCGGTCTTGAGGATGTAAATGTTTTCAAATGCTCAAGATTAGTCAGAGAAAAAGTACCCCTATTTTTATTATAAGTTTTTATTTTTAAATAAATGTATATATAATATATAGTAAAATAAAATTTGATCATATGCAACTGCCCATTTTGTCCCTCTCTACGCCCCCAGGTTTAAGATTAATAGTATTCAAAAACAATAGTAGAACTGTAAGATATAAGTAAAATCTCATTCGGAGTTTAAAGGATTAAAAAAATATGGAACTATAAGATATATGTAGAGTCTCATATTAACTCTCCATAAGTGTAGTATGATGAGAGAGAGAGAGAGAGAGAGAGAGTATTTTCAACATATATGGTTACTTATAGGACTATGTGTCATTAATGTGCGATATTCTAACACTCTCCCTTTAGAAATATCGGCTCGATAATGGTAGACACGGATGTATCAATGTTGACTTTAATACCATGTAAGATATATGTGGACTCTCTCTGAAAGATTATTTATAGAGAGAGGAGGATATTCAGATGTGTGTGTGTGTATATATATATATATATATATATATATATATATATATATATATATATAATGGACTTTGTCGCACTCATGTGATATATTCTAATATTCTTCTTAGAGACGAGGGTTCGATGACTAATATTTTTAGCAATCCTCTCCAATATTAATAATTTCCACCATTATGATTATCAAGTAATTTCTGCCCCCTTTGATTTTATTTTTAGATATTTAGTTTTAGTTTATATTTTGGTTTCATTGCTTTATTTTAATAATAATAATAATAATAATAATAATAATAATAATAATAAAATAAAAAAATAAAAAAAACCTAGAATCATATATAATAATTAATAAAAAATACTTTGGACTTGGACAAAAATGTCTCTGACATACTTTCCATTTTGCTTGTAAATGTGGCTTAGCACCACAAGAAATTATAAAAAATTTGGAGTATAAGATAGAATATTATAAATGGTGAAATTAATTCAATTTTATATGTTTATAATTTGGTTTGGACAACGAAAAGAAAAAATAAGTGTTATATCCAAGGTTGTCAAGATCAGGATCCTATGTATGATCATTTTTGGGTTTGCAAGATCGGGATCAAGATCTTAAAATCCTACAAAATAAAATATAATTTTAATTTTTAATTTTTAATCAAGAAAAAATTTCAAAAATTCAATTTTTCGTTAGAAAGTTATAAAAACTTTAAAATATTAATCATAAGTCACAACATAAAATGATAAACAATAAGTTGGTAAAGGATTAAAACCATAAACTGGTAAAAAAATTCATTTGCAAAAAAAAATAATAAATAAATAAATAATAAAATCAATAAAAGGTAGGATCGGATAGGATCTCAATCATACTCCAAATAAGATCCGTATCATTTTTCATACCTAGAATCTTAGGATCGTACTATCCTACGATCAGGATCGCGATTTTAACAACTATAGTTATATCGACTGTCCAAGTTTTTAAAAGATTTTTGATTTGGGCCATTTTAAAACAAAGTAAATTGTTTTAAATTTTTTTTAAATAAATTTATGTTTGCTCTAAATCATGAACTATTGAATATATGTATAGGGAACGAAACCAGAAGAAATTGACGAAAAAATCATGAATAATAAAGCAACATATTATGGGGGAAGGTTCAGGCACAATAATCATACTTGGAAGCTTATGCCTTATAACGAGAAGAATGCCAAAATAATTTCTCGTCAATGTCCTGCATGACATCCTGGGACTTTGACCCTCACACAGGACGTCCTTTTTTACCAAACAATTTTTGAAGAATGGAATTTCAACATCCAACATAGTTTCTCGTATCAAAGTCCTACGACTCTAAATCAGTGTCCTAGAGGCAAGAACAGTGTAACGGTTTTTTCCCCATTCCTCACCTATAAATAGAATACAAATTGTTATGTTCTAAAAGTTAATCATTCGACTAATATTACTTGAAGTTGTGTTTTCATCTCGCATTTATTATTTGATCTAAGATTTTATATTGCATGTTCACTCACCATTTTGAGTTCAATTAAGATGGATAGTAAATCAACATGCAATATTCATAAATTTTAATAGTGAATGCATAACATTGTAATTGTTTAATTCTAAGACACGATATTGTCAAACTATTAGTTATTCATAATTCAATAGACAAGACATAGGACCAAGATGATTGGTTAGATCAACACATTTTATGCTAAAAGTTGCATCTTTAATGTTGATTAACTTATGTGTATGTAATTAAGTAGGAATCTAAGAGAAGTTAAATGTGGTCATTCTAATAATCTAAGCAAGAAAACTAAAAGTGATATTGTTTATCTCATAATTTATGTCTTGTTTTAAAACTCTTTGAATTATAAAGCTTCAACCTTTTTCTTAATTTTAATTTACAACCGTTTAGTAGCTTATTTTCAACTCATAGTTTAACTTGTTGATTATTTTATACGCACAAATTGAACCATAAAATCGGTGTGGATTCGATCTGACTTACCCTACTATATAGGTTGAGTTAGTTTATTTTTAATCGACGACTTTCAAGGTATTGAGTATATAACAACCTTCAAATTAGTATGAAATTTTGTATCTTCTCGCTCTCCCACAAGTGTCTAGAACCGTTTTCCACCAAACTTTCCAAGTTTTTTGAATTTGGGGCTCGTCTTTCTCATAGATTCTGCAACCATTAATATTCCTTGAAAATTACAAATTCAGTTCTAAACAAATGGAGTTAATAAATGTAAAAGAAATATGGGATATTTCTAGGAACATGTATTTACACTTTTTGATATATGTTATTTCGACTATATAAACGTATGGAGATACACGAAACCAAATTTAGGATAATGCAATTAATCACTCTCTTAATTTTTTTGAAGAAATTCAAAAAAATAAATAAATAACTAAATAAAATACTTGTTTTGTTGTATTTTTTCTAAGACTAAGAATTTGTAGAAAAAACTTTGGGGAGTGGAGAAGTTTTCCTTTAAAAAACTGAAAACCTATAAATGGAGGTATGCAATAATCCGTGGTGGTTGGTTTAAATGAATAACGATAATATGTTTAAATTTTTGATAACTAAAATGACTTTAAGACTACTCCAACTTGAACCGTTTTGAAATAAAACAGAAGTTATGGCACAAGGCACAAG